ACCTGCCACCCCTGTGCAGAAACCATAGAATCTGGGTGGAGGCAACACCCCAGCCCCTGCGGGGTGGGGCTGACAGGCCCAATTAGGATAGATAAACTGCTGTCACAGGCCTAAGACACTGCCACCTGATGTTTTGCTAGCCACCATGATTAGTTCAGGGATGAACTAAGCAATCTCATCACAGGAAGTCCAAGGCTTTGTTCAATGAGTGGGTCAAGAGAAGCTCTCTCTCCTTTTGGGCAGTGTGGTATATGGATGGTGATGCCTGGACCTGGTGCAGCCTTTTGCTTCCAGGAGAGAAGGCAACCTGAGTAGAAAGTTGACCCATAGAGAAGAGAAAAACCAAAAGAAGTGCTGAATAAAAAAGAACGAGAGTTCTGATCAATTCATGACCTGAAGCTTGAGCTCCTTCTGGATTTTTTTCCATTACAGAAGTCCACACACTTCCTTTGTTGTTGAAGCTGGTTTGGGTTCACTTTTCTGTCACTTGCAACCTAAAGCATTGTTGCCACAACACCCAATGATCTATGGGAGTCCATCCTTCCATTTCTTAAGTGGATGTGAGGGACACATGAAATGACACAAATGAATGTCTTTTAGAACCTTACTGTACTTCTGGAGTTCTACTCTCAGCTTGATTTAGGCAGTTGGTTGCATATTTAGGAATCAATAGGAGACGGGAAAGGTTTAACAAGTGCAGAAGAAACCCAAAGAAGAAGTGAGAGAATAGCAGCAGAGGAGATGAAAAAGGAAAAGAGAGAAGGAGGAGGTAGATGGAGTCACAATGCAGAAGCCTCAGAGTTATCTAGAATCCTTGTTCTCCCTCACACAAGTCCATGGATTCTGTCATTTAAATATTTCTGAAACCAGCTTCCATGTTCAGCTCAGACTTTCATGATCTATCTCCTCCTTGCTCTGTCTGCCTTCACCCTTGTCCTCTCCAAATCCATTTTCTACAGCAGTCCGAGAGTGATCTTCTCAAACAACAGATCTGAACTTGTCGTTTTCTACTCAAAATCTTTTGATACCTCATCAATGTGGAACATGGCAAATAGCATGAGCTTTGAAGACAGAACATTTTGAAACCTAGCTCTGCCACTTACCAGCTGTGTGACTTTGGGCAAGTGTCTTAATCTCTCTGCACATCATCTATCTAAATGATAGTAATAACACCATGATAGTCAGGATTCCTTTGGTTACCAGTGACAGAAAACTAACCCCTGCTCACTAGGCAAAAAGAGGGGAAAATTTATTAACTCTAGTAATGGAAAGAAGAATAGTAGCATAAGAGGGTCTCAGGGATAACCAGAATTAAGAACTCACAAATGGCCTGTTTCCCCTCAGCCTCTTTTGGCCGGGGCATGGGGGAGACTGGGTGTTGCTCTCCATGTTTGCTTCCCTTTGTACTTTAGCTTCACTTCCTTGGATTGGCTATTTTGTGAATGGCTGAAACATGACTGGCTCACATTGCCTAGTGTAGTTACCAAAAGAGGAGAAACTTCGGCTGTGAATCCAAAATTCCAAATTCTCAGGAAAGGTCTTTGATTATCACATCTTGCATCACGTGCCTGCCTAGGGCTAATCAACAAAGGTTAGGGGCAGGATGTGTAATAAGATGGCAGCTTCCATTTAACCACATGATGACAGAGATTAAATCAGAAAGCACATTTAGCAGAAGCAAATGGAGCTGTTCTGGAGGGACAAACCAATAGATATCCTCTACAAATCTTACCTTGCATGGTTGCTTTGGGGATAAAATAAGATGACCTTTATCAATGAGCATCAAATACCAGGGACAGTGCCTGGGTACAGCACACAGCTACAGTGTACGGCAGATGCGCTACAGTTCTTGTTTATTCCCTTCATCCCTTCCTCACTCCCAGGGCCTCTTTTTGCATAGATAGATAGTGCCTTCATCTTTTGCTAAGTAGAAGAATGTGTCCCCCTCTGGGTGGATGCACCCCTATGGGCACAGGGTTTGACAAACAGAGGTCACATCTATGATAAGAAAAAAAAAATGCCCTTTCTTGCCATGAACACAGGGTTGAACTGGGGCTGTGCCTTTGTGGGTAGCATGTGGGCCAGACTTCCCTAGCAGCGCCCTTGGCCGTGGCCCTTGGCCCTTGCACAGTGCACAGACTGCCCGACCAGGGTGGGGCCCTGCATTCTTCATTTCACTTTCAGAAGCCATAGACGGGCTGCATTACTCAGTTCCCAATTAAATATAAACCAGTTCCCCTGCATCACTAATCCTGCACTCCATCTACCTTAGACAGCTCGCCATTCCCAGGAAGTTGTATGCTATTTCTTTTTGCCCTGACAAGGGGCTCTTGGCTTTTCCCAGGCATTCTTACCTTCCTCCTATTAGCCTCTTAAGCATCAGGGCAATGACACGGCTTCTGCAAATCCTTCCTCAACACACCCAGAACTCTGTGCTAACTGCCTCCTCTGCATTTCCAGAAGCCTGTTCTTTGTTCTCTAGCAAAGTGCTGCTCACGTTGTAGAGTACTTACCTGTTTGCTCATCAGTTCCCGCCCGCCTCCGCTTGCAGTGACTGTGGCTCTCCAGCTCTGCATCCCTGCCTAGGAATAAAGCCTGACATCTAATAGACTTCAATAAATGCTTATTATTGAAATACAGGATGAATCAATGAATGGGGAGGAGGGAGTAGAGGAAAAAGAGAAGAAGAAGGCTAAGTAGAAATTTCACTATTTTCACACAGACTTATCTCTTTCAACATTTGCAGTTAAAACCAAAGGAGAAGAGCAAGCAGACAGCCTAATAGACACTCAGGAACAAAGTTGCTTCCTGTCTCTCAAATCCCTGAAATTTGAGAACTATCTTACCACTTGGGGCATTATCTTCATTGCCCATGGGAAAGTGAGGTTTCTGTTGAGGTCTGTTTGGTGCATCCAGCTAAAGCATTCATGGGCTGATATGGGGGCATCCCAGATCATTCCCCCCCACACACATCCCACATAGACGCTACATGGAATTGGTCCCAGAGCTCTAAGTATTCCTGGCAATCAGTTTTGGCATCTCCATGGGCCAAAAGAATGAGGTCACTGTCACCAATGAAGTCACCACTGCATGATTCATCTGACATCAGTTCCCCACTTGGAGTGCTCTGACATTCCCAGAGCTTCGACCAGAACATCCAGAACCCAGGGTCCTGGATTTATTTATAGATGAGGAAACTGAGGCCCAGAGAAGGGAAGTGACATGCTCAAGTCAACACTGCTATCATTGTCAGAGCTGGGACCAATTCAGCTCTCCTGGCTGAGTGCCCTCCTGTAGCTCCTTAACCTCTTCTGATAGACTCTCCTTTTAGAATACTGGCCCTGGCAAACGCTGCCTGAACAAAATGGTTCTGCCAGCAAAGAATGGGGCAAGCCCTTCTCTCCTCCCCTCTGAGGAAGTGGCAGAGACCAGCTTTGAACCAAGATTTGAGCTCAAGGCACTCGACTGCCCTCCTTAACCTGCCATTCAACACATACAAAGTATCTTCCAGATTCATTACATCTAAAGCAGCCCACAATGCAAACTCCCACACTGCAGACACAAAGGGCTAAAGGGCGGAGCCCAGGGACATGCTCAATGAGAATCCGCGGGGAACTTGAAATAACTGCTGAAGTCTTCCTGGGAAAGTGGAAATCAGACGCCGGGTTCGAGTTCAGGTCTGGAAAGTGAGGAATGGGGGAATGTAACAGTGAACATTTCCCAAAGTGTGCCCCAAGTCCTTGAGTGCTGGGAGCAGCTGGGAGCCTCTGGGATAACCACTTCACCTCTGAGGTCTCAGCTCACTCACCTGCAACCTAGGGAGATGGTCCAGTGACCTCTGCGCTGCCCCTCAACACAGCTTTTCGCTAACGCTGAGAATCCATGAAAGGAAGAGATTTATCTCAAGTCAGCAAGTTGGGGGAGGGGTGCAGTGTCAGCGTGGAGTGCACTCTCGCCCCAGTGCCAATGTTCAAAGCTACACTCTCGGCCAGTGAACAGGACCTGGACAGACGGGTGTTTCCAGGCTTTGCCAGATACAGGGGCAGGGGGTGCCACCTCGATCACAGGCCAAATGTTAGAGAGTGAGGGTTCTCCGGGATTACAACTGAATACCTTCGAGGGATACTGGGGACTGAAAGGAGGCCTTGGAGAATGTCGCCTCCAGGGGGAGCACAGGTACATTTGCCCAGTCCAGAGCTGACCGGCTCTCCCTTTTCTGGCTGGTTGGGATGGGGGTGCTTCAGTGGTTCAACATGCTGTGTCTCCTTTAGTCACCGGTTTCATAGTAAATGATTCAAGCTCTTGCTGTGAAAGGCGGGGGGTGGTGGCTCGGGGACCAAACAATAAGCCAAGAGTCCCTGCTTTCCAGCTCAGGGACGCCCCCATCACCTTCCTCCACCACCCTGCGCGCCTTTTAAATTAAAAAAAAAAAATTAACCCTCATGGCCTTTCTTCCTGATTTCTAGTTCCGTTGTGCACTTAAGAGGCCGATAGAATGGCTCTTGCCTTCCGGGTGGAGTTTAGATATATATATATATATAATTTTGCATGACTGTTGCGTCATCGTTCAAGTCGTCGTGGTTCCCCGAGAGGCCTCCTCGTCTTCTCCCAGCATCGGGGCCTGTGGACGCTTCCGGGCGTTGCGGGCACTTTCGCGAGGAGCCCTCGGCTCCTCCCGATCGATTCCCTCTCGGCCCCCTCCCCCAGCCTCACCTTCCTCCCCCTCCCTCTTCCTCGGCTCCTCCCTCTCGCCCCCTCCGCGCAGCCCTCGCGGGGAGTCGCGCTAGGGCGAGCGGGCAGGGCCGCGCGGCGGCGGCTGGCGGGGCGCGGGGCGGGGGCGCGGGGCGGGCGGCAGCGCTCGGGGGAGGTGCCTGGGCCCGCCCTCCTCCGGGCCCAGCCGGGAGGGGGCCCGGCCGGCGCGGGGCGGGGAGAGCTGCCTGGCCCCTCCCCTCGGCTGTCCTCCCCAAAGTTGCCGTCTCCCCCGGGGCCGGACAGTCTTATGATCCGGCGGATCCTCCTGGGGAGGCCGGGCCGGGGAGAGGGCGCGGGCGCCGAGCGGCGGGGGCACCGGGCGGGCGCGGCGACCGGGGCCGGGGCGGGGATCCGGGCAGCGACAGAGGCGGCGGCAGCGCCCCGGGCCCGCCGCCCCCTCCCCTCCGGCGAGGGGAGCCGCTGCATGGGGCCGGGGGGACGGCCCTGCTGCGCGGAGCGGCGGCGACGGCGGCGGACCCCCCAGGCGGGCTGGGGCTGAGCCCGGGGCCGGGGCAGGGGCTCCGGGGGGACCATGCCCGGAGGCCGGCCGGCCGCAGCATGGCTCACGGGCCCGGCGCGCTGATGCTCAAGTGCGTGGTGGTCGGCGACGGGGCGGTGGGCAAGACGTGCCTACTCATGAGCTATGCCAACGACGCCTTCCCGGAGGAGTACGTGCCCACCGTCTTCGACCACTACGCAGGTAAGCCTTGGAACTGCTGACTAAGGGGCCGCTCCCCGGGCCGGGAACTTTGGAGCAACTTTGGCGGAGCCCCCTCGCTGCCTCCCCTGAGTGCGCTCCCCACCCTTCCCCCGCCGCGCCCTCTGCCAGGCGGCCGGCCCCACCCCCGCGGCTTTGCTGCTGGCACCCTTTCGCCTGCGGATCCACCCCCTCCTCCTACCCCCCGCCCCTGCTCCCCGCACTCCACAACCCCCTCGGCACCCTAGGCCGACCTCCGTGACCTTCCCACAGCCGCCTTCCCTATTGCCCCAAGCCCCTGAGGGAAACATTTGGAGGGCCCGGGCAAGACGTGGCTATGGGACCTGGAGTGGACAGCTGGGGGCCACATCACACCCCGGCCCCATGTCACTTCACAGTGAGCTGGGCGCGAGGGAAAAATGGGTGACATTTCCCGGAGAGCGCCCACACGCCTCCAGCTGGGTTGGGAGAGGAGGGTCCAGGTGGGGAGTGAAATTGCCCCAGAGCCCAGGTCATTGTGAGCTTCTCTCCCCGCCCCCACTTCTGTCCTTGCAGTCAGCGTCACCGTGGGGGGCAAGCAGTACCTCCTGGGACTCTATGACACGGCCGGACAGGTGAGTGTCTTGGCCTCTGGCTGGCAACCCCTCCCTTTCCCCAATTCTGTGTGGCTGCGAAGGGCCTTTGGAAGATTGAGCAGTCGAGGCGGGAGGGTGTGTCTGTAAGGGGCTCCCTCTGGATTAGGTCTTTATTTCTTTTATCAAGTCAGTGAATTAGGAAAACGATCAAAACCAACCAGCCAACCCAGATCAGCCCACCTATGTGAGCCCCTGGGCTGGGAAAGTTTTGCCTGTGTGGGTCGTTCTGTGTGGCGCGCCTGGTGTGTGGGTCCCAACTCCTGTTGCAAAGTGGCAGCAACCAATCATGAAGCGCCCTTATTTTTAGTTGCAGATGACCAGGTCTCCCCCTCACAGCCTCTGTCTGGTCCCTCATTGGTGAGTGGTCTGCCTGCCCGAGGAGCCTGATTGGTGGGAAATGGCATCATCTAATATGATGGGAAGGCATTTGGTCCTGGTTATGTTTATTACAACATCATTGCACTCTGGGACTCCAGTCCCTGAAAACGTAATTTGTGGTGTTACCAGAGGACCACAGGGAAAAAAGAAAAGAAACAACAATCATCCAGCCACTCCCTGGGGTGGGTGTGGGGGAAGAAGGGTTAGGAGTTCAGTGTGAATCTTGGAGAAAGAGGTTTTCCCCACCCCCCTCAGGAGGGCCAGGTGACTTAGTCGGGGTTTTCTTTGGGAGAGATTATTTTGTAGAAAGAAAACGCACCCTTCTCCTTGCAGCCTCTTGCCAGTGTTTGCAAATCAGAGGTGACCAGGCTGTGCTCTGAAAGGATTAGGTGTTCTCTTTGTCTTACTGTCCCAGCTTCAACCTCTTCCCAGACCCACGTTTGCTCTGGGCCTAAGATGATTGTGTGTGACGAAGTTTTGTAGAATACTGAGCTATGATTAGATTGGAGGACTCAGGCAGAAGTTTCCACATGTCATGCAGACTCCAGTCCTGAAGGACCCAAAGGCTCATAGAGAGTGTCTTTGAGAAAAGTCCAGTAGTAGAGTTTTCTTGTCTGTGAAATGGGCCGGGTGCGGTGGCTCACACCTGTAATCCTAGCACTTTGGGAGGCCAAGGCAGGAGAATAGCTTGAGGCCAGGAGTTTAAGACCAGCCTGAGAAAGAGTGAGACCCTGTCTCTACAAAAAATTAAAAAATTAGCTGGGTATGGTGGTGCATACCTGTAGTCCCAGGTATTTGGAAGGCTGAGGCAGGCAGATCACTTGAGCCCAGGAGTATGAGGGTGCTGTGAGCTATGATGATGCCATTGCACTCTAGCCTGAGCAACAGAGCAAGACCCTGTCTCAAAAATAAAACAAAACAAAACAAAAGACCATCTTCCTGGGCATATATTGTACGCCAAATGCTTAACATTGAGCCTGGCACATACCAGGTGCTGTTCTTTAGAGCTTGTGTACATTTGGATTTCCGAATTGTGGTACTAGATTAGAGTCTGGGTTGGATTCTGAAAAGTGTCTTGTGGGGGATGTGCCTTGATGGTGGCCTCTGCTTTCTAAACTATTAAGTCAGAGGAACATCTGAGGGTAGAGAACTGCTGGCACTTCAAGGTGCCTGAGGCCACCCCCTTTCACAAAACCGGCCCAGGTCAGTACAGTCAGTTCTCAGCTTTCTTGAGCCCCTTTGGGTTAACCTGTCCTGTACCTGTTATTCCTTCTGCCTTCATCAGAGGGTGTGGAGAGCAAGAGGCAGAACTCAATCAAATAAGACCAACTTTTAAGTAGTACAGTTGATAAACAAGAGGTTGACATTAGTGGTTGAAAGGAGGGAGGTTTTTAAAATTGCCTCTAATTTTAACCTCTCTCACTACCTCCCCTTCCCTTATCTCCTTTACTTGTCACCATGATCATTTTTGACCACACTTCCTATGCAACAGGGCATGTGTAAGTCAGAGCTGTTCTGAGCACATTCAAACCCTACTAATATTTACTGAGTTCCTTCTACCTATCAGGCATGGGGCAGCCACAGGCAAATATTACCTTGCTTACTCCACAAAACAACCCTGTGAGATAAGTGGTACTCCATTTTTTCAGGTGAGGAAACAGGCTCAGAGAAGCTAGGTTATTTGCTTGAGGTCACACAGCTACTAGGGGATGTTGCTGGGATTAGGACGAGGCTCTGAATCTGCTCTAGTTAGAGGTAGTTATACACACAGGAAACCATGGGAGTGCTGAGCTGCCATCAGGTTGATGGGATTGTTTGTGTGCCCATAGACGTACCTGGAATCTTCATAGCCTTTCTCTATATGGCACCTCTACAGAGGAGAGAACTTAGATCCAATGAGTCACCGAAGTTGAACCCACTCAGAAAATGCTTTCCATGTATCATCATAATTACTCTTTCTGGTGGAGGATCGTGAGATATATACCAAGCAGGATCAACATATTAGTAAGGCTCAAATACTACTGCTTTTCCCAGTGGTGAGACTCCTACTCTGTTGGTCAAGATGTGTTTTAGGCCCCCTTGGTGTTTCTCTTAGTGTCTAAGACTTTTGTTTTTGGGTCACAGTTAGTGACATTTCTTTTCTTTCTCTCTCTCTCTCTCTCTCTCTCTCTCTCTCTCTCTCTCTCTCTGTCTTTTAGAGACAGGGTCTTGCTCTGTCACCCAGGCTGGAGTGCAGTGGCACCATCATAGCTCCCTGCAGCTTCCAACTTGTGGGCTCAAGTGACCTCCTGCCTCAGCCTCCTGAGTAGCTGGGACTACAGGCACATACCAACATGCCTAGCTTTTTTTTATTTTTTGTAGGGACAGGGGTCTCATATTGTTACCCAGGCTTGTCTCAAACTCCTGGCCTCAAGTGATCCTCCTGCCTTGGCCTCCTAAAGTGCTGGGATTACAGGCATGAGCACCATGCCTAGCCAGAGTTAGTGATATTTCATCTTTCAGCATTTGAGGGTTTATTACTAATGAGAACAAATGACAAATACTTGTCATATACCTAGTGCTATGTTAAGCACCTGGGGAGTGCAAAAGAATAAATTTAAGGTAGAGATCTACCATGGCTGATGCCGTGTTGCTGGCATAGGTAGAAGTATCTGGCTCAGATGCCTGTTCACATGTGTTATATAGGAGATTCCTGTGTTGTACTTGGTCTTGAAGACCTTATGCCCTCTATGAATCCATATCAGATTCATCTTACAATAATAATAATGATGATGATAAATAAAGACATACTCATACACACACATGTACATATGTATAGAAATTCTTAAGCCTGATGGGTGGCAGAGGAAAGCCTACAGGCCTTGGAACCAAACAGGCTTGGGCTCAGATCTCCACCTTGCTGCACTAATCATGTGATTCTAGCTGAATTATCTACCTTCTTTGAGATCTAGTAAAAATGGAGATAATTAGAATCTATACTGCAGGGTTGCAGCCTGGCTTAAATTCTTTAACATGTGTAAAAGCAGCTGACACTTCTTCATGCCTAGTAGGTCTGTAATAAATATTACAAGAAATTATTGTATACTCTACTATGGGTGGTTTTATGGGGAGGAGTCAGAGGTGGCAGAGGACAGTGTATTATGCCTGGTGTCGATAGAAATTCCACTAGCATGCTAGATCCTAGGACCTTTTCAACAGAGGTATGGAGCCAGCCTTGCGCTTTATAATTCCCCCAGTCCCCATCATTGGACCAATGGGCCCTAGCTGAATGCTCTCTGCCATCAATACCCTGTTGTGTCAGATGGCTTTCTGTCTTTTTTTTTTTTTTTTTTTTGAGACACAGTCTTGCTCTGTTGCCCAGACTAGAGTGCCGTGGCATCAGCCTAGCTCACAGCAACCTCAAACTCCCGAGCTCAAGTGATTCTCCTGCCTCAGCCTCCCAAGTAGCTGGGACTACTGGCATATGCCACCATGCCTGGCTAATTTTTTCTGTTTTTAGTAGTGATGGGGTCTTGCTCTTGCTCAGGGTGGTCTCAAACTTCTGACCTCCCACCTTGGCCTCCCAGAGTGCTAGGATTACAGGCGCGAGGCACCACACCTGGCTGGCTTTCTGTCTTAACTATAGCCTGCATCCCCACTAATGTAAGAGAAGTAGCTCAGAGTTCTGTGCAGAATTTGAGAAACATGCAGGGTATGTAGGATTCAGTTGGTTCTTGTTTCAGAGAGGTAAGACAGGATGAGGAGGAAGCTTACAGCACTGGAAAACAGTTGTCTTCTGTCCAGAATGTTCGCTCATGCACGTGGTACTCATTGTATTTGAATAACAGCAACGGTGCCTCCCTCAGGTTGGAACCTCTAGTCTGCTTGCTCACTCTTGGCCTCCTCTTTGACCCTAGTCACGTTCAAAGCCACAGGCATCATTTGCCCAGTTTATATATTTGGGAATCTACCAGTCGCAGGATGATTGTTGTAGATGACCTTTGGCCTTCTGAGCAGGCTGCTTTCCACTTGACCTCTGCTGCTGTTAGCAGAGAGAGAGAAAGAGAATGGGAGAGAGTGTTGGACATCAGTCCCCGTCATGTGCTCTGCCTGGGGACATCCCTCAGCATCCCCAGCACACTCACTAGCACCAGCACTGCTGCCAAAGGGAAGCCCTCCCTCTGTTGGTCAAGCCCACGGGTGGTCCAGGAACAGTGTGACATTTTGACTGCCAAGCATTTTGGAGTGGAAGTTGACAGCGGCGCCTTCCTCCTCACTGGGGGCCTCATGTGTGTTGGTGGGGGAGGGTTGGCTTCCTGCCTGGGCCTGTGTAGAGCTTCTCCTTTCTAGCCCGGCTTTCGGGACTTCAGTGCAGGCTCCACAGCAGCCCCATGGGCTGCTCAGGGAGGGACGAGAGAGATGAGATTTTCCCTCCTGCCCCTGCATGGGGTGGAGTAAAGGGGAAGTGGGAAGAGTTCTCTCTGCGTCCAGACCAGTTGGTGGAGGGCTGCCTGGCAAGCCGCTCTCTAGCTGTGGGCTCCAGGCTGATCGCTTAATCCTTGGCAGGAAGGCAGAACTTGATACCCTGAGCAGGGAAGGACTGAAGCCCGTTCATCCAGGTC